CCAGCACAAATAATTCTTGTGTTTCATGGCTGGCACCTTGAAGTTGGCATAGTGACTTTAGCATGACATAGCTTCTCTATCTTCCTGCAGAGACAGAAGTGAAGCTTTTGTAATGGTATGAATGGGCCAGAAAAATGTTTTACGATAATCTGTAGTTTAGCTGTAAGCTTTCCATGGCCCTTTCATGCAGCTCAGCTAATAACATTTGGTCTTGAGACTCCTATGTTTCATCTTAGATTTTCCATATCTGTACCTTGTATGGTCAGCACAACTTTTCAGTAAAGAAGCCTTTATTTTTTTTTATGTAGACTCTTATTCTGTTTTGCACACTGCAAGTTCTCAAACTGGTGTACTTTTACGTTCTGTATTTTTTGAAATAAGATCTCTGGGCTGTCCTGGTTTCTCAGTCATACTCAGGCTAATCCTACTCTGTACTGTCTTTGGTTTCAGGTTCTGTCAATTAACGAGGAAGGACAAAAGAGATGTGAGGAAAATACCAACATCTTTGGCCGCCCAATCACGTTAGTATAGTTAATTTTCTTGTATCCTTACAGAATTTGAACTGACATCGTGAAAAGAATGCTTCTCTGAAGGTTTTAGATAATGTCCTTAGGGTTAAACTGCAGACAGCAGTGCATCTCTTGTTATGGGCTGTTCTTGAGCTTGAGGTACCATATATAGTGAACTTAAATGCAGATAAACTCTACAGCTTCATATGACAGCAAATATTGATACTTCCTTGTATCTTACTATGTCCTATTTCAGATTAATTTAATCCGGATCCTTGATATTCTCCCTTTTTTTTTTTTTAATACAGGAAACTGCAAGATTCCACTTTCATTTAAAATGCGTTTTTATTATTTTTAGCAATAGGCCTTGCATACCTTCACCCGCTTCCACACCGACACCATATGTTCTTGCCTTCGAGGCTGGGTGTCTGTTTTACCTGAAAGCTCAACTGGGTTCAGGGCTGTCTGCTGCCTGAGCAGAGATGTGCTTTTTATTGGAACTGCTGGTCTCCCTCATTGGCTTCACTAGATTCTGTACAGGCTATGGTGTTACTGAAATATTTTGTGGATCATTAACTGAACAGCCACTGTGCAGAGAGTTTTGACAGGTCTTTTTCTGCATATTTGTTTTAGATCCTGGACGTGTCTGGTGGACTTGGAAGGACTAAATATGCGGCACCTCTGGCGGCCTGGAGTTAAGGCCCTACTTCGGATAATTGAGGTTGTAGAGGACAACTACCCTGAAACTCTGGGGAGACTCTTGATAGTGCGAGCACCCAGGGTTTTTCCTGTGCTCTGGACTCTGGTGGGTGAAGTCTAGACTGCAGGATCATAAGCACTTGTGCATGTACAAATAGCTAAATCATCCAGTCAGTGTTAATTTCTGCTTATTTGAAGATGTAGGGATGGAAGAGCTTCCAGGTAACTTGTGGCTGAACTCCTGAAGAGGCCACAGCATTGCTACAGAGCCAAGCCACAGCATGCCTGTAGCTCACTTGATTCTAGTGTCTGTCATCCACCAGGGCAGGTCAGGATGTTGACCCTAAATTGCAATTCCTCCTGCAGCACTGGTAGCCCAAACTTGTTGGGTTTTCATATTGATGGGGAAAGACGAATTTTTTTTTTAATCTCATGCTGGAGGACACTGAAGAGAAGAGTAATAATAAATATGGTGCCTGCTGACTGTTTTGGCAACGTAAGAACACATTTGTTAAATTTCTTGTGAGGTGTATGTGTGGTGTGGTGACTGCAAACTTATTTTACATGAAGCAGAAAATGTTGTGAGATGGCGATATAGTACACTTCCCGTTTATTACCCCTTTCTTTAGGGAAGTGCTTCAGAGTTGCAGATCTGCGTTCTTGCTGATGAAACCTTCCAGTCTAGAGGCTAAACTTGCATTTTTGAATTATTTTTAGCAATATCAGCCTAAGATGGTGTAAACATTGTGTCTCACTTCACTCAGTGACGGTGATGTCTTCTGTCTGCTTTTTATTTCAGGTCAGTCCCTTTATCAATGAGAACACAAGGCAGAAGTTCCTCATTTACAGTGGGAATAACTACCAGGGTCCAGGAGGGCTGGTAGACTATGTGGACAAAGATGTGATCCCAGACTTCCTGGGAGGAGACTGCATGGTGAGTTTTCTTTCCTGTTGTGCAGGTGGGACCTTACACATTGCGGATTCCTCAGTTGTCCCCTCCTCAACACCCTGGCTTTCCGCTCCCTTCTGAAACGTGGTTAAACCTCTGTTCTGGCTGCAATACCCCTATGCTGAGCATGGTGCAATTAATTGGTGCACGGAAGACTTCACCCTGAAGTGGTGATGCTGCCCTGGAGAAGGGGGTTAGAGGTCAGCTCTCTAAATGGAGCTTAGATAAGCCATTATAGTTCTAGTAAACTTAGTCCCACTGGGAAATCTACTACCTGAGGATGTCATCCTCTGTGTCTGACAGCCAGCAAGTGTTCATGGTACAGACGACTTGATACTTTACCACTAGATTAGTATGAACCATCATATTTGCTTGTCTGACTCTTCCAGTGTACTGTCCCAGAAGGTGGGCTTGTTCCCAAGTCACTTTATCAAACAGAAGAAGAGCCAGAGAACTCAGATCACATCCGATTATGGACTGAAACTATCTATCATTCTGCAAGTGTCCTCAAAGGAGCTCCACATGAGGTACAAACCAGAACTTCATAAGGCTGAAGGAGGGCTGAACTGGTATCAGTGATGTGTTCCTTTAGTTAAGGCTGACTAGAGCAATGAAGGGCTCCCAAAGTGTGAGCATGAGATGGAAAAAGCAGTTTGCCTCCTTCTGTTATCAAGTCTAAACGCAGACGCTGTCTGAAAAGCATGTAGTCAGCTTCAGAAAGCGCAGTTACTTAGAAAAAACTTAACTGAAGGAAAGTCTCCTGAAAGGAGAATTGGTCCTGTTTTAGTCAAAACCAGGACAGGAAGGCTAATGCTAGCTAACAGCTAGAAGTGTGGAAGTTAAGAACAGCAATTTGAGGAGGAGTGTCTCTTAGCTCTGCTGTGGCCTGACCTTCTGTAAGATATAGTCTTCTCCTCCTTCCTGGGGAAATAAAGCTCCCTCAGTTTCCCTTCTGATAATACAGCTTCCATTCTCAGTGGCGTAGCTAGGACAGTAATGGTGGTGATATGAGAAGGTGTGCACTAGAAACGTCCTGATGGGGAGTCATCAGAAAACAGAATGTCCAAAAAGGGATCACTTGAGTGTCAAAACAGTCCACTAGCTTCACTGATGGTGAGTAACTCTGATTTGGCCTGCTTAGGTTCCTTAAAAAGCAGCGATGCCTTTTGGAGTGCATAGCCACTCAGAAGGTGCTCTTTGCTGTGTCTCGAATACTTTACTTCAGTTCCGTTGAGGTTTTCGTAGAACTAGTAAATTATTTACAAGTAACTCTTATACAGGGGAGAGATGAGGTAAAAATGCCTGAGCAGATGTACTGTGGCAGAAGACTGGCAATGGGAATCAGTCTATATCCTCCTTGGGAATCAAGACCAATCTCTGAACTGGAGGACTGTAGAGAAAAGCATGTTTGCAGAGTGGGGAGGAATATGCTGGCTGCCACCTGAAGACTCTTTTCCATGTGCTTGTTCTGGTCCCTTCTTAGATAGTTGTGGAGATTCTGGAAGGGGAATCCGTCATCACCTGGGACTTTGACATCCTGAAGGGAGATGTAGTGTTCAGCCTCTTTCACTCCAAACGAGCTCCTGAAACAAGTCATAAAGAAGCCACGCTACCAAGTACCTCTGCTGCTGGGGACAATACGCAGCTAATTGACAAGACGTGGGTCCTTGGGGTGGATTACAGCCGTGTGGAATCTCCACTGGTTTGCCGGGAAGGAGAGAGCATCCAGGTCAGATGTGTTTGGGTCCTGGCATGGATCTGACAGTCCTAGCAAACTCCAAAATGGTCTGGTGGTGGGAAGGGAAAGGAATTGATGGCACGGGAAATCATGTATTGCTTAGAAATAGTTGTGGTGGTGGTCATTCTCTGGATTCCCTGTGAAAGTGGCTCCATAATCCATGATAAAAAGCTAATTGAAAATAACTTTTTTTTGTTGTTTTTACTAGCATTACAGGGATGTCGATCAGGCATGTAAAATAAGTGAATGATGTATGCCCCCCAAAGCAGTCAGCTTGATAGTTTCTTTTGGCTTTGCCAAGTCCTTCAGCTACTTCTTAATCCACCTGGTAGTCCCTTGATGGCCCTGTTTTTCTCTCACAGGGATCTCATGTGACTCGCTGGCCTGGCTTTTACATTCTTCAGTGGAAAATGCATGGCCCTCTGCCCTGTTCTGGCACTAGTCTCTCTCGGGTGGATGATGTTCTTGCCTCTCTGCAAAGTTCTGGTCACAAGTGCAAGCTTATATACTACTATGAGGTGCTTGCATCCAAGGACTTCAGGTAGGAGATTACTGGGGGGATTTACTATATGACTTACAATAGAGAAGCCAAATGAGAGGACTGAGTGTGAGTTCAGTGTTCAGATACCAGTGACCTCCACAGGGTGTGCATTTCATTGATGATAAGTTAGATGGACGCAAACTTGGTGGCACTTTTGCATAAAGAATCTCTTTTAGTGCTGTAGGTAACAAGGGACCCCTGGGCTGTATGTCCACCAGTAGAATTTGTGCTTCAGTTCTTGTTAACAACTACCTGAAGAGGGGGAGGTTTTTGATGGAGGAGATTGTTTTATCTTTGTGGGGAACGTTTTGAGAAGTTACTTTTGGAGTAACTTAACAAATATCAGCTGGGCTATTTCATACATACTTTGGCACTTGAGAACGATGTCAGTTGTGAATTGGAGTGCTTTCTGAATAGGTGAGTACATCAACCTTGGCAGGACTTGCCTAGCCTCCTTTAATGCTAAAAGTACTTTTCAAATCACCCAGTAATTTGAATTCTTTGCAAGTACTTGACCTTTCACTGTGAGCTGGAGGAAGTCTCAGGTAGAACAGACTTGCAAGGTATAATATCTGTAGCTAGGAAAAAAGATGTCTGACAAATTAATTTTTCATCATGACACAGATTCTTAGAGACCAAGTTGAAAGTGATGCAACAAAAAATACAATACTTTGGCAAGTGTTCTAGAGTGTAAGTTGATCTGTCAGATGTATAGAGTTATTGATTAATAGCTGTCTTCCTAACACACACATCTGTTTTGTCCCATCCCAGAGGATCCATGTCGAGCCTGGAATCTTGCAACAGCGGCTTTTCCCAGCTGAGTGGAGCCACGACATCTTCCAGCCAGTCCCAGAGCAGCTCCCATCTTTCTAGATAGCAGAGCCAAGGCTACAGCAGCAAGGAAAAATCACTTAGGGCTTCATGGCCCCCCCCCGCCCCCGAGCTGCTCTGTGCACCAAACCAAAGAGCCTACAGGGGCTGAGCCTTGAGGCAGTCGTTCTTGTGACCACAGGTAGCAGCCATTTGGACACAGAGAGGCTTCTGGGAGCTGCTTTGAACATAAAAACTTAGAATTCAAATGGCAGACTTAGAAATTTTATATCAGATGCCTACTTCTAAGTATTTTTCACAAATTGTGTTTTTTTGGATGAATGTCAGTTTGCATGAATCTGTGTATTACTCGACTTTAAAGGGCTCTTTCCAATCAGTCCTTTTCCTGCGCGTGGTAGAGGAGACTGATGTTGCCTTACCTGTTTGATCTGTAGGACTAGATTATTTGTGTGTAGCAAAACTAATCTAATTTTTCTGGGCGCCCAGGGTACCAATTACACATCAGAAAGTAAAGTGGGCATTTCAGGTGCAGGGACTTGAAGCAAACTGTAAATACCTTTTATACAAGTAGGATGTTTCAGAAATCAGTTCCAGGTCAAACCTAAAACCTCTTCCAATCTGACAGGATGCTATTAGGAAATGTGTTGGATTTTTTTAACCCACTGAGACACAAAAGTCAAAATGGTTTTCTAGAAAGTACGGGCAGAGAACCTGCTTCCAGCAAGCAGCATCTTTCTTAGACTATTGTTCCGTTTTCCTCAGGTTTACAAGCAATAATGAGTAGTTCTGACCCATCTCATCAAGTGGATGGGAACTGAATCAAATCATAAAGGGCTAAGAAAAGCAATATTTTATTTCCTGAAGGCACAAAATTTTATGGCAGTATTATAGAACTCGCTTCTTTAAAACATGAGATAACTTGAAGAGAATACTTTGAAAAAAAAAATGTATTTAAGCACTTACTGAAACGTATTTATTGAAATACTAGCTTATTTTAAATTAATTTTTAACTTATTTATAATTTCAGAAATGACTATTTATTAAATCTAGTCGCCTTTTTTAATGGTATTATCTTTGTTTTAGAAAGGAGTAGAAAGGATTGTCTTTAATCCCAAGAAATCTTTCTACTTAGGTTCTAATCTTTGTGATTGCTGGATGTTCCTGCGTAAAGGGCTGTATTGTACATAGCATTTGGGGTAAGGGCTGCGTGTCATCTTTTCCTGCAAGGTAAGGTTAGAGCCCAATGCTTTTTGAACTTGAGGTATGTTTCTTAGGATTAAGAAGCAAGGATTGAGTTCAGGAGTTGTAAGAAGATCTTCATGACATCTTCATGTGCATCTTCATGACACACCGAAAATACATTTGTCCATCATCTCCACTGATTATTCCAGTGAGCAGATGTGTAGCAAAGGTGCTAGTGATCCGTTTATCAGGTTGGGTAGCAAAGTTATATGTGTTCTTGTCTAGGTGGCAACACAACAAGAATAGGTGTCAAATACTCGCTTGCACTGAGGCAGTATTTGCAGCTGGCAGACATGCAAGACTTGTGATGTGGGTGAATGTCTGGATTCAGATCCAGCTGTGCTGTGTGAAGACCTCATCCCCACCAGCCGGAGGTTCCCTCTACACAGATCTGATGATGATGATACAGGCCCTGCCCCTGCAATTGTTCACCCTATCCAAGACAAGTGGCTTGTGTCACGTATGGCAAATGCAGTCTAAAATGAGGGATTTTCCAGTTCCCTAGCTGGGGAACAGCACAGCCAGTTCTGGGCTTGGGGTGGGAGGAAGCAGAGGTGGTGGTGGAAATGTGGCTTCTTCCTCCAGCACAGCAACTCATGTATCCATGGCCATCTTTTGCAGTAAAGACTTGGGGTTTCTTTCGCTTATGCCAAGTTTTTATTAAGGTTGATGAAATCTGTGCAGCTAAGAACAATGTACATGTAAAGTAGTTCCTTCTAATCTTGCTTTTTTAATTACTGGTTTTGAAGCACCAGGCATTGCCAAAGGAGAAAAGAGCCCTAATATTTGGAACAAGGGGAGATGAAGGATTTGATGTGCTTATGTAAGTTGTTTGGGTTTTTAAAGGATTGGAGCCAAGGAAATTACTCTCCCACCTTGCATCTCTCACTGTTGGTGTGGAACAGGTAACTTAGTTACACAGGCCCTGGGAAAGTTCTGATTTCAGAGAATTCCCCAGTTTTTCTGTGGACTTTACCTTCTCTCAGATGAATGAAACTTGTTTCTGGCATTTCAGCATAATTGGAGTCTGATAGGGAAAAGTACTACCTTTGCTCTGGAAAAATCAGGAGTTCTGGAATTACCAGTGCATATGTGTCCCTCATGTAAAATCCTTTACCCATAATTAATTTAGATGCTAGAAATAGTTTGACTGACTCCCAAAGCATCAGGAGCAAACCCAGCCTTGTCTTCCTCATGCTGTTTCAGGATTTCACCTTCTTGTGGCTTGATTCTTACGTGGCTGGTCACGTCCCACAGCAGTAACACTCCCGTTTCCTGTGTTTCCCTTGGTTTGCTCTGGTTAAGAATCTCTTCCACCGCACTGGATTTTTTTTGTTTATTTTAAAATGTGACATGTGCTGTTCTCATCTCGCCAATAAAAGTTTTGGGTGTTTAACTCTTGTCAGCGAGGCACCTGGAACATGGCACCCTCTGGCAGGTCTCTGAATGAGCCAGGAAGAGATGAGGGGCTGGTCCTACGGAGTGCTCCCTCCTGGGATACCACAACCGCAGTTTTTCCTCTTGTGCCTCGGTAGTACTGCTGGTCTGCCCCACAGAGATTGCACGCAGCTGTTTGGGAAGCAGCTTGTGATATCTCCCTTGTCAATTTTAAGCAAAACTGCCTGGGTTATTCCACCCACCAGTTTACTTAGCTATCAATTTAAATGATCCAATATAGATTCTTTTTTTCCCTTTTTCCCCTCAATGTTAACATAACAGGAGAAACGAGGCAACAGCCTGGATGTTGGGGCTGATGCTGTGCTGCGCTTTTTCAACCTGACTTTGTGAACTGCAGATACAAGAGCAGCAGAATTCTTCTGAAACACCTTTTCCCCCCTAAAACAACATCAGTGTGCTTTAGAAAATAGAACACGCCGTTTTCTTCACAGCAACCTCTTGTGAGTTGAGACTGGGAGGAGTTTGGGCTTCATCTCTCAAATCTCATAAGCCAGAACCTTGAAAAACAGACTCCTGTTTCGGGTGCCAAGCTCACAATGCAGCAAGGCCCTCCCTGCTCCCCAGCAGTGTCCTGGCAGCTGCTCTTCAGTGAAGTCAGGGAGCTCAGGCTGTGTTCAGGTAACTCGCTGGGTACTTACAAAATAGCTCCTCAGTAAATTGGGGCTTTCCCCTGTTTCAAATATTCCATATGGAAAAATAAAAAAAACCTAGCCATGTTTAATGGGTGATACGAGATCTCAAGAGAAAGGACACTGTGCTGTAGGTACAAAGTGTTGTGCCATTGTTTACAATTAAATATGGCCATATGTGAAACCTTTATTCTTGGCGATTTCTACAGGTTTGCCCCATCCTGCCATTTACTGGCTTCTGTCCCAGTAGGAGTGGGAGAGGCAAACACAGGGCATGTCACTGGTGGGCATGCGCTAAAGACGGGTGCCAGGCTAGACCTCAGTTGTCATTCAGGGCAAAGCTGGAACGCAGTACCGAGTCATTTTGGCTAAACATTTTGTCAGTTTTGAAAAGGGCCTCTCTTAACTGCCGTAGGCAGAACAGCTAGCCTTTGGCAGGGACTGACGGAGGCTCTGGCCCAGGAAAAGCTGCAAAAGCAGCAGTGCTGGCTGCTTTACCGCTTCCATGTGCCGAGGGTTAAGCTGTAAACCAGCACTCCAAGGCACTCTCGCCCCATTGGCAGGGAGGCACCGAGAGCTGGTTCCTCAGTTTCCTGTACTTGCTGTTGGGGGAGGAGCAATCCTGACTGCTGTTACATGGGGAAATTCCTGAGCGACTGCGGTCGCTTTGCTGTGTGGCTGTGTTTGCTGCTGAGTTGCAGACACAGCCTTGTTCTGGCCAGCCTGAAGGCTGAAGTGTTTGGTTATATCAATTCCCCTTCAGTAACAGGGGGAAAAAAAAAAACAAACAAACCCACACTTTTAATAAGAATTTATAATCCTAATTTGGTGTATTCATCAAAAGATTTTGAAAAATGCCATAGTCCAGTCATCTTAAATCTGTAACACTGCAACTCAGAATTCCTGGTAGGAAGTAGTGAGCCTATCTGGCTGCTCAGCTCAGCCGTATTGACGCAGTAGCTATGGGCAGCCATGCCAGAGTCAGAGCAATCCCTTATTCCAAAATGCATTTTACTAGCTCACACTTCTTTAACATCTGACATGTTTATACTGTGAGTAAATAATACAAGAAATAGAGCTATTACACTCTTAAGGAACAACTGACAACGTTTGTCGAAGATTCCTGCATGCTATTAGGTTTAATATTCTTCCAACATGTTTGTGATGATTCTTATACCTGATTATGACTCTCTTGGAAGGCTAAATTGGAGTAATGTGACATGCATGGGCTTTTAATGACAACATCTGATTCCAAGCTCTTAGTTACATATATAAGTTAAATGGGCATTAATTTTTTTAGCAAGCATTTACTTCTCCCTTGCAGCTGTCTTCATTTTCATATACTGAAGTCCTGATTTTTCTCAGCCAAAAAAACCCCAAATGTTCTTTAAGAGCACACAAGCAACACGCAGACTGCTTTGCAATGTGTTACCTGACAACAAATGTGCTTAGTTACACTATTTGTAGGTTCTGGTAGGAGCTGTACATTTCTGTATGTCAGAAATAAAAAAGCATCTCTAAAGAATGTGTCTTAATTGTTTGATGCAACCGTTTAAATTGTGGTAAACTCTAAAAATTCAAGCATGTGTGCTGCTCTCTTTATCCACAGAAATGAAGGTAAGGCTTGCTTGTATTCAGTTATTCCTACTTTTTAACTGAAATGTTCTTTATTTTTTTTTCCTGTAGAACTGGCATTTTTTGTTTATTTTCGTACCACAGAGTAGGCTGGTACAACACCTCCTCCTGCAATGCAGTTGGTTATTTAAAATAAAAAGGGCCCGCTGGGTTTGAACAGCCAACTGAGATTAACTGGGAAAGGATCGTGTTTTCCTCCTGCAACTGGATATTAAGAATTTGAGTTCCAGGCAGTTATAACTAATAGACTTTATTCAAATAGTCTTCTGTAAATAATAGAAAAATAGAATCTTCCATTTACAGGTTGATTTGATGCCAACAGCAGCACAAAAATTACATATCCTTAAACTCGGAGAGATAAAAACAGAGTGCACAAAAATGTTAATATTCAGGCTCAGGCTTTAAAACCCCCCTTTGCAGCATTAAAGTCCCACATTAAAGGCTAGTTTTCCCTTGCATGGAAACAAACTCAAAAAAAAAAATATTTTAATTTAAAAATGCATTGTGCAAGGACATATTCTAGTAAAATGTCTGACTTCCAGCCGAGATGTTCAGGATCTTGAGTTGCTCGAAGGAGTTACTGACTGTGGTCCCAGCTCGCTGCCAGCAGTCGTTCCCTCTGCCGAGGGCAGGGCTGTCCGAGGAGCAGGGACACGGGCTGCGCCAGGGACTGGCCCGTGGGCTGAGGGCAGCATGGGCTCATCGGGCTGGGGTGGGGCGAGCCTCGTCCCACGGCTCGGTCATGTCCTGCCCACTGTGCCATGCTGCCTTCTGGGAGGTACAAGAGAATGCAAGAATGACATTTTTGAACTGACAAGGCTTTTTATGTTGCTGCACTGCAAGAACCTACCAGGAGGACTGCCGTGGTTTTATTGTGTGCTGCACCTGTTTCAACACTTTTAAAATTACTTTCTTTCAGTTTTCTGATAAAAGTCTGAGCTTACCAGGGAAGGGCAGACAGTTATAGACTAAAACATCCTTAAACCAGCTTCCTTAAGCTTCGCTTTATGCTAGAGGCAAATTATCTTGCATCTTAAAAATACTTACCGCTGCTCAGGTGAGAAGGGACCTTTCTGAAGTGCCAAAAAAAATTCCCTCAAGTATTGGAGGGAACCAGCCCCTCTCCTTTCCTGCTGCAGCTGTGGAATTCCCTTATCCACCTGTGTGCGTAGAAGCTTCTGCCCTGCATCCTCTCATGGCGATGAACTGCATTACAGCAGAGGAAGGCAGGGGAGCCAGCTGTGTTCTGAGCAGGGCTGGGCCTGAAGCAAGGGAGTTTCGTGAGCTGAGGTATCTTGCTGCTGCTCTTGGGTTAGTTGGCAGTTTTACACTCTAGGACTGAGTAACCGCCCTAACACTGAGCGCTGACTGGCAGTACAAGGTGCAGAGTAGAATACCTCATCTCTTCTCATCCAGGACTGTAAAGGAGTGCCTGGCTTTGGTCCTGAGCATCTTCTGTCTCACAGGCAGCAGATGTGGAGGTATGACTGGCCTCCCCATTCATCTCTCTCAGGGGGTGGTAGAGATAGTCACCGCTCTCACTGTGTCTCTTGGACCTCGCCTTGAGGAAAAGGCCTATGTTTCCCATGGCACTAATCACAAGAAGCAAAGCCAAGACAGAGGTCACGGAGATCCAGGTTTTTCTGCCAGGCAAGAAAAAAAAAATCCCCATAAGCAATACCTCTGGACATGCTTTCACGTGTGCCCAGGACACAAATGATTTCTCAAGGTTTGTACTCCCTTCTCGGTCATCACAAGCTTGCGGTCAGTCCTACCCAGGCAGGTGAGGACATGTTCTGTGAAAGCCTCTGCTGCGGCAGCCAGAGCAAATGGCCATCTTCAGCTTTCCACTTGGTTAACAAGTAACCAGCTGTGCCTGCAGAGCGGCTGAAGCTTCACCAAGGCTACAGAAGCAGTGCTCTGCTGTCAGAACTGTCCTTGCCCATCTGCTGCATGCACAGGGCATCGGGGGAAAGGAGCGGTGGCTCTTGTTTCGCTGTGAGCTGCAGAGCACCAGGCTCAGAGCGTGAACTGTCACTGATGGGGGCATCAGCTCAGCACCTGTCTTACAATTATGTTTTTAGCACCTTCCCTATCCTCCTCTTTCTCATCACGAGGGCTGTAGGTGATGTAGTGAAGTCAGAACACAGATGGTTTGGGCAATGAAGCTGCAGGTCTCTAAGCTTCACTGACCCACAGCCCTGGCACCCAGGAGGTGGTGTGAACAACTCCATCTCACAGTGAGCAGTTGAGGGCATGGACTCGGTGCGTCCGTATGCACATATATGATGAGTATTACACACTTACTCTGACAGAGAGACTTTTTCATTGCTCCTTCCCTTATTCTGGGAAGCCCAACACTGCCCAGCTGGAAAACAAAGAATAGAGGGAAGAAAGGCAGTGTTAGGGGGAGGGTGTAAAATTCCACTAAAAAAGAGCAAGCTTAAGTAAGGTGACAGCCAGCCGGAGCTGATACCTCAGCAAACAGAGCAATATGCACTAAAAACTGCTCTTCCACTGGTTTGGTTTTGTGTTTTGTTTTTTGGTTGGTTGGGGTTTTTTTTCAAAACCACAACCACTGTAGTCAGAGGTACCTTTGTTTAACTGCTCCTGTACTGCCACGTCATAGGTGATGTTGCAGCTGCCTGTCTCCCGGTTGCAGGGACACGTGTGTTCACATGCGCATCGTTTCTGGCAGTTTGGCCCGTACCAGCCTATGGGACACTCTAGGGAATTGATTACAAAGAATTTGATTGTTGTCAAAGCTCCACCTGCTTTGAAACCACCCAGTCTGTCCCTGCAGCTCCCCCTGCCCCCCAGCTTGATGGTGCCCCTTTCCTCAACTGTGCCAGGAACGATGGGCACACTCAGAGCTTTAGGAGAGGCTCAAACCTCACCTACATCTCACTGAGGTATTTGTGTTGCTTCTGTTGCCACAGCAGCCTCTGCCTTTGTTGCTTCTAAAGCATTTTTCTCCCTGACCCAGGTTTCCTGCAGCCCAACAAAGCTGTTCTGCCTGCCCACCCTGCTTCCTCCAGCAGCCTGAAAGCACCAAACTCTGAGTTAACTGCTGTTACCATGTTTAGGTCAAGAAGTTCTAGTAAAACGGGGACGGGGATGGGGCTGGATGAGCATTCCTGGGCTGGGAACAAAGCATCGCTAACGTAACCATGCACACCAGAAGTTTACACCCACACCGTAATTAACTTGCCCGGTCACCAGAGCAGGCTGCTCAGTCAGATACACAGGGCCTCGAATACTTCGGAAAAGCTGGAGTGGTTACACAATCGAGAAGCTCCCTAGCTGTGTCAGCACTAGTGCACTTACAGGCCGAGTGTGAAGGTCGTAGGCCAGAACAGCCCTTTGAAGCATTTCACAGTCACTGACTGGGATCGCCTGATGCCCGGGCTACAGGCAGGGCCTGGTGCAACACCCTCAAGCAAACGATATTCAAGCACTCCTGTTCTACACTTGGGAGCTTTGGGAAAGCAATAACTAAACAGGAATCCACCGTTTTCTAATGACAAAGAAAACTCCTCTTTTCTCTCTGCTCCCTCCTTTTCTTTATACTCGGTTGGGGTAGGACAGGCAAGCCCTTAAGAACTGGGAGCTGGCAGGTTGCGCTCCAGCTGTGACGTTCAAGCCCAAACGTGCCGGGCAGACCTCATGTTTGCTTTGCCTGCAAGAGGTGGCTCAAAGGTGACATAAACTCCTCTCCCCAGCCCAGGCTGTTACTCAGCGCAGCCCTTACCTTGCTCACAGCTGGTGCCATAGTACCCAGCCGGGCAGGAACAGGCTCCGTGCACGGGGTCACAGGAGCCACCGTTCTGGCAGTGGCATTTCTGGGTGCAAGCATCCCCATAGAAACCGCTAGCACAAGCTACAGGAGACAAGCAGAGATCTCATCAGGGCCCTCGCTACAAAGGTGAGCAACCCCACCCCATGCTTATACCCACAGAGCAGTCACTGGCACAGGGTGTTGATGGCTGCTCAGAGGACAGAAGCTGAGTCTGTGCCTTGAATAAGGAGCAAGGGCTTAAAATGCTTCGCACAAGCCAATTGTAAGATGCTCAGGTGGCAATTAAACTGGCATTGACAAAAAAGAGCAGCACACTGGGTAGCCTTTCCCCTCGCTGTTCCTGCCTGGGGTGCCCCCCACCATGACAGGCAGGTGTTCACACCGTCCTCTTGCTGGCTGTGAGGGAGTGGAGCGGAGTGGAAGTCAGCATTACCTTCACTGCAGTTGCTGCCAGTCCAGCCAGCATCACACAGGCATCCAGCTGCGCAAACACACACAAACAGGCATTAACAACAACAGAGAAAGACTTAAAAATAACAAGAACTCAAAATTAGGAGCCTCTGCTTCTTGGGGTGCCCTCTTAATTCTCCCTGCCTGGAAACCCACAGAAGAGGAATCCAGAACTCACACGCAGGTTAGATTCAAACACGTGCCCGCTCCAGCTGCCAAACGCAGCAGAACGTCCTGCTGATTGGATATGGAGAGATTAACTCTGGGTCAACTGTTAGCAACACCTGCACCCACTGAGCTCTGCCCAGGCACTTCACTGGTGCAAACCTGACTGATTGGAATCAGGGAGGTAGCACAGAAACAGGAAAACAGAATTGAGCAGGCACAGAAGAGCAGAAGCTCCAGGGTGTACGTTATGGCAGTCCCTAGATTCAAAAGCAGTTTATGAAAGAGTAGCAATGTGTAAAAATCATGAAGCAGGAGAGTCAAGTGAAGATGGAATGATAAGGGACGGGGGCAGAACTCAGCTGCTCTGTCATATAGTGTAATACGCTGCCGTTCCCATCAGCAGATCTACAAACAAAGCCGGAGCACAATGCCGAGGGCAGAAAGGGAAAGTGAGACACAGAGTTTGAAGTCAAGTCCTATTACAGGTCCAGTTTCCAGATCTGAGTCCCAGATCTGCTGTCTCCTAAAGGCAGCATGTTCTGCCCATCTCTACTGCTGCTTCAGATGCTGGAGGGAAGGGGGAGAGCAGCTCCATATACCCGGAAGGTAAGACAAGCTGGCTTCCAGAGTCAGGGCATGGGCTGGCTGGATAATCGGTGCCTGCAGCCCTAAAAGGCTGGGCTCCCAGGGCTGGGAAGCCTCTCCAGAGTGCTGCTCTCTGCAGTGAAGGCAGCAGTTGCTGATGCCAGTTCATGTGAGCTACACCCCTTCGCACCAGAGTGGGAAAGGGCTCTGTGAACCAGCCAGGACTGCGCACAGTGGGGTGCTGAGGCCCCACCGTGGTGCCTCGCTCACGGGCAGGAAAGCGATATTCCCCACGTATATACTGCCCAGGTCCGTGCTTCCCCTAGAGCTACCCAGGGGCATCCACTGGCACCTTTGCGCACCACAGCGACTCACAGTCGGTGCAGATGCCATGCAGGCTGCAGTTGGAAGGGCCACAGTCCAAGATGTCACAGGCTGGACCTCTCCGGAAGGCCCCGGTGCAGTGGCACTCTCCTTCCACGCAGGTCCCATGACCGTTGCAGTCTGCAGGCTCGCAGGCAGGCTCGTGGATACACAGGATGGTCGAGATGCTCCGAGGGCAACGCCACATGCTGTCAAAGGAGCTGGGGACAGAAGAGGGGTCCCGTAAGGCATGCAAGCACTGTGCTGCTCCCAGCCCTACATGAAACCAGTTGATACAATCCACAAATTTTCATCCTGATTCACACTGGCAAACAAGAACATTAATAATGGGAAAATACAAACATAAAACTAGATTTGAGTCAGTGTTTTAACTAAGTGTTAACTCCTGTTGGATAGGAGTCATTTCCAACACAGAATTACGGAAGGCAACATGCAAAGTCTCCCTTTAAGCAGTCCCAGATTCCCTACCTTTGGTGTTCAACACGCCTTTTTCTGAATATTATTTGCTTTGATACAAGTGGCATCATTGCAGTTATAGCAACACTTGGCTTTCAACTGTCAGACTGCAAAATAAATTTTAAATCCCTTCCTGATTACGGTCAGAAATTACTAAAAAGCCAAATTTTAAGTAAAATATTCTTTAGATTCCCTCACATGAGGCAGGCCAGGGTCTCCAAGTCAGTGTTTCTCTTCCATAATAATAAGCTGTTGACAGATCTCTGCTCGCTCCTGTGAATGTGCAGCTCTGATTCTTCCAGTCTAAGAGTTGCTTCCTTATTGGAGTCCCGCATCAGGCCACTCGATCATGGCAATAGCTTTGCTGCATGTCTGAAAACAGCTAAACTTTAATCCCAGATGACTAAGTGGAAAAAGTATGTAGTCACTAAATTGCTTTAAATTTTAGAGTCACTCTCTCCCTCAAAACCTGTCGCTTGCCTTTACATTGTGAGCTCCCAGCAATGCAGACTGACTCCCTTGCAGAGCAGAGGGGCAGGACTGAGCTCTGCACACTAATGGGAGCCGCGTGGTTACTTGTGCATCCCTGGGCACGTCCCGTCAGCACCTACCAGTGCTCAGACGGGTAGTTTGCGAGGGTCCCATTTAAGACCAGTGTTGCAGACCCTCCACCATCCAGGTTGATAGCATTGATGATTCCCTGCTGCTTCAGAAATTCAGCCATTTCCCAGAGGTTGACCCTGCAAAAGCAAACAGTTGTTCGTTGCTCATTTGTGCGATTTGATTTCAATGAAACTACTACACTAGAAGCTTGGAGCTCTCTTCAGGGGAAGAGGGGAAGCTCTTCCCCCCCAGGTATGCTGACTTGCTGCCTGGAGGCTCCATTAGCCTCTTCTGGCTCTGGAAAGACACCAAACAGCTCTGCAAGTCTCTGCCTTAAAACTTATCACTGGCAGCCACAGCGTCCCTCCAGGTCCAGTGACAGAATTTAATGACTGATCTCGCACCTGTGTCAAAACCTTACCACAACTCTCCTCTTACCCTCTGGATTCTGTCTGTCCGTCCACATGAACCAAGACCAGCTGCCCCTGCCTGTCGTGTCCAACTGCAGTCCTGGCCGATATCACATTGATGAACTTGTCGAAGGTTCCTGTGCAGGAGAGGGAATAATTCACGCACCAGCTGGGTGATGAACTGGCTGTTTAGACACACCTGTCTGCAAAACAGCTCCCAGCAGGGAGCTCATCTAAATTGAAAGACAATGAGAACAGAGCCCAGGTTCCTCCTGTTCATCCAAGCCCATCTAGGAACAACATTTCCAGAAGTGCTCTTGTTAAGTTTCTGTCTGGCACAGGGACAAAGAAGGGAATTCACAAACCCTCAGTTTTAAACTCCTGTAAGAGGCATCTGCTTTGAGTTTCTCTGGACAAGTGTTAACACCAATCATGTCACCGCTATTTACAGTCCTCAGCAAATTCTATTGAACAACCCTGAACAGGTGAGCATAGCCTCATCTTGCAGGAAGCCTATTTCTTGTACTGCACTTGCCGCAGACTCAGGGTGAAATAGCACCGAAGAAATTTGGACCTCTTAAGTGAGCAGCAAACTGCAACTAGACAACATAGTTTCCACTGCTACCCCCTCCTTCCAACAGCCCCATCAGAAGGACAATCTATACCAGGCTGAAGCTGGGCTTTACAATATTTACCTGTGGTCTGAATTTCACCACACTCAGCCATTTGACTCTGACTGACGTACACTTCTCCATCTCTTAGGAGCCAAACTACCCCACTCACAAGCTGCACAAAAGGGTTGGCTTGATCCAAGACATCTTCCTCAGACAGGTAACTAGGAAAGAGAGAGCAGGAGGGGTTACCCACAGTCACAGCAGTGTCGTGTAAAAGCCTCTGCTGCTGCCAGCAGGCTCCAGAAGCCAGGAGAAGGGGAGAAGGTGGCTGAATGAAGGCTAGCTACAGCCAAAACTAGAGGCCAAGCAGTGCAAAACATCACTAGCAGCCAGAGTGGACCCCGTTCTCCACTATTCTGCACAAAACCACTGCTAATGATGGTCCCAGACCACTGTGCATGAAACAGCTCCTGCCAGCAATGTGGCCAGAGGACCCGAGCCAGGATAGTAAGAGCAGAAAACATCTGGCAGAACACGAGGGCAGAGCCATTGCCAAATACTCAGGGATCTGTGGAAGCAACTGTAACATCTTGCTGTCTGTCAGCTTCCATTCTGCAGAACAGTGACACCAACCAGCTTTTGAGGGTTTCCAGCAAGAGCATCCAGTCTGCCTACAGCTGCACTGAGGGGACGATGCTGCTGGATGCTACCTGCTCCCCTCTGTCTGGGAAAGAGCTTTCTCTGCTCTTCCAGCCAGGAAAATCTTTCACTGAACAGTCAGACAGTAAAAGGACTGTTCAGCTACCATTTCCATGTACGTCACTGTGGGCTGCTTCCCAAGAGATAGTCTTCTCTCAAGAACTAGGGTGCTGAGTAATGTCTGCCTCATCGGAACCTGATGCTAGGTGATGTTTGCAACTGACGGGAGAGGACAGCAGCAACGGTTGGGGCTGAACAGCTGTACTTTCACTGTGAGTTCTGCCAGTGGGTTTTGGTTTGAAACTGATTGCTCTGCATGCTCCAGACATGCCGCGTGGGAGCTGAATGCTCAACTTTTAGTTTTTTAGTATCCATGACTGCAGCCACACAAGCTTGATGCTTGGTAGAAAAGTGTAATTGAAACTACCTGAATGGAAAACATGCAAAAAGGAATCCCTTTATCCATGGGAAGGGAACACAAAGACAAAATGAACACAGCTGAAAATGGATCAAACTACACAACAGCTTGAGGATGGGCTAATAAACTGTCAGCTTTCAAAGCCTGCAATTATCCATCCTCTGTCCAGGTGGCAGAGGCAGCATCTTTGCTAGGTGGGGGGTAACAATGTGCCCTGGTGCACCGTCCTGCTGATCATGATACAGTGTGACAGAGTCAAGTGCAAATTACTTTCCCCGCTGCCCTGACAGATCAAATTATTTACACTAAAACTGTTTCTAGTGTCACATTTTGGAAGCTGCAAAGACACTGAGCAGACAATTCACGCAGTTCCACGACTCCATTTAACAGGGGAAATCCTGCCAGAGCAGGAGAGAAGCAGGGCAGAGCTGAGATGAAGGAATCAAGAGCAACCTTGCAGTTGCTGTTGGTTCCCTCAGCAGATAAAGGGGACAGGCCACCAACTCCAGAAGCCCCTCCACCATGTAAATTAAGGCCGTGGTTCCCAGGGCTGTCAGAGAACAGCTGCATGCTACAGCCCTGGCTTGGTACGGTCAGTTTGGCTTTGCAGGGAACCTCGCTGAGGTCTGTGGTGCATGGGAGCGGGCTAACAGAAGGGTGGAGAATGCAGCCAACAGATGCAGCAGCTTCCAGACTGCTTCTCAATCTTGAGACCATCAGAAGGACCTCTGGGAACCCTTCTAGGACCTTGAGGGTACCTGCTGCTGCTGGGGAAGGGTAGTTACTGGGGGCCTTTACTTCCAGTGAGCACTGACTGACTACTCTGTCAGCTATTCCTCATCAAAAGGTGCTTTGATCTTTTGTCTCCAGCTGATTAGGGAGCATCACAAACCCTTTCAGCTGGTGCCAGGAAGAGGCCTATACAATTGCCAGGCTGAGACCACAGCTCCCAGGAGCCAAGAGATGCTGCAGCTCACATGGGGAGCTGGAAATTCTACGGAGGGGAGTGTCTGTGGTCAGCCACGGTGACACACTGCAGGGCACGGCCTGCAGCGCCGACTTCTGCAGCCACCTCCAGCACGGCAAACACCTCGATTCAGCTTGAGCTGTGGAGGAAGAAGGCAGTGCTCCACCTCTCAGGCTGCAGGGATACCTGTGCCTCTTGCTGAAGCTGGAGCCAAGAGAAACGGTGTCCTAGTGCATGCTGGCTGAGGAGCTACGCTGCTGCTGCCGGGACAAGGAGCTACAGGAGGAGTTCTGTGCACTGCACAGCAGTAGGGATGATGAGAAAGAGATGGATAGATCTTTCCCAATAGCCTGCAGAAACAAAACCCTGAACCCCACAATGCCCAGAAGCAGCACCATGGATCTGCTCACTGGAGTGGCAAATCCTGTGATGACTGCGAGCTGGAAGACTGTGAGCTCTGGCAACAAGAGGGAGCTCGTCCTCCACCCAGGTTCAGAGCCCTGGCAGCAGGCAAGGGGCTGGGGGCTCTGTGAAAGTGTCTCTGCCAGCTGAGCCTGAACACCAGAGGTGGGAGAGTGATAGGGGAAGCTCCCTGCCACAGGGGACAGACGCCCCGATCTGCTAACCTGTCTAGTGATGTTTGCTGGGGACTCAGATCTGGGATGTTGTGGGGAGTCTGCTGAGCCTGAAGAAGTGGAGGCTGAGGGGAGACCTTATCACTCTCTACAACAACCTGAAAGGAGGGTGTAGTGAGAGGGGGATCAGTCTCTTCTCCCAAGTAACAAACGACAGGACAAGAGGAAATGGCCTCAAGTTGCACCAGGGGAGGTTTAAACGGGATATTAGGAAAAATTTCTTCACCAAAAGGGTTATCAAGCACTGAAACAGGCTGCCCACGGAAGTGGTGGAATCACCATCCCTGGAGGTATTTAAAAGACGTGTAGCTGTGGTGCTTTGGGACATGGTTTAGTGGTGGACTTGGCAGTGCTAGGTTAACGGTTGGACTCGATGATCTTAAAGGTCTTTTCCAACCTAAACTATTCTACGATTCTGCTTCGGCACTGACCACAAGCTACTGAGGGTTTACGGGTTAGGATTAGAGCTCTGGCAGGTCAGTGTGGGTGACATCATGGTGGGTGTCTGCCAAAGACTGCCTGGTCAGGAAATAGTAGATAAGACCTTTAGATAATAGTAGATAAGACCTTTTTCTATAGAAAACTGGAAAAAGCCTCATGTTCACAGATGCTGGCACTTATGGAGGACTTAAACCATCCTGGTATCTACTAGAAGGGCAACGCAGCAGAGCATAGGAAATCCAGGAGATGCCTGGATTTCTACTTAACAGTAAGTAACTTAGCATGACAAACATAAAACACCCTTTTTACTGTAAAGGGTGGTCAATCACAGGAACAGGTTTGGGCAGAGACGTTGTGGAGTCTCCATCCTCCGAGATGTTCAAAACTCAACTGGACACGACCCTGAGC